CAGCAGTCGCCCGCCACAGTGTCGTAACGTCACAGGGGGGCCTGAGGATGGCCCATGAACTCAAAGCCCTGCATTACAAATCTCCTCCTTCTCCCCTGTCACCCAATTCGGCTTCGCTCTTTGCACCGAAGTTACCGACAGTCGGGTCGTGCAAATACCTCGATTCACGCCCCAAGAAAGCATGCTGGGCCTGCAGGGGTCGTTCCAATGGCATTGCAAACGCGTGCTGGAACACAACAGATGACGAGGACAGCGGTGGTGACAATCGGGAAGGCGAGCAAGAAAACGAATGCGTCTCTTCTTCGCGCAGCCAGGCGGTCCGGCGAGGATACCCGCGCCGAGCATCCAGCTCGCGGCCCGATGCCGCGCCCCCCCACTGTCCGTGGCGGCATCATCCGCAAGCGTGCGCGCGGCCGCTGGCGAGCCCTGAGGGAAGGACTTTGGCCTCGCGGTCGCGCGGCAGCTCGCATCACTGGCCGCACGTCAGGCGGGGGACCGCGGAGAGCACGCCGTTCGCCGGGCTAGCGCGGGCTTCCCAAACCAAGCCTGGAGTCCATCTAGGGCCCCAGGGCCTTGAGGCAAGTAGTTCCCTATTGCACACTGGCCGGGCAAGCCAGCGGAAGATCGCCACAGTGGAAGGAGCGGGCTCCCCACACCATTGCGAGGCTGCATTATCCGCCACCGCGCCTTCCCGGAGTGGGCGCGTTAGAATGCTCGTCGTTTGTCAGGGAGGATCTGTGGAATTTTAAGGGACACCCCCCTCGCCGCGCGTGTGCCTGAAAAAACGTTCCTTCTGAAATTGCTTTCTGGCTGTCGTTCGGGTTTCCAGGCGACTAAGATGGCCTCCAAAACGGCTGTCAAGACAGCCAAGACGACAACAACACGGCTCGAGATGGCCCAAGGCAGCTCAAGAGCCTCCCAAGAATCCATAAGTCTGCTCAAGATAACCCAAAAAGGCCGCAAGACGGCCCAAAAGGCACCAAAGGCGACCCGCGAGAGCTCCAAGAGGCCTCCATGAGGGCCCGAAATCGGCCCAAGAGGACCCAAAGATCGCCCAAGGGGCTCCCAAGAGGGCCCCAAGACGGCCCTCAAGACGGCCGTGAACCGCTCCAAAAGGGCACCAGCGCCACCGACAGAGGACCCCAAGGGGCCCTCCATAGGGGTCAAACGGGCCAAGGAGTCCCCTAAGACGGCACAAGAGAACCCACGAGGCCGCCAAGAGGCCCCATGAGGCCCCCAAGAGGCCCCCAACAAACTTTCAGGACGCCCTGAGAAGCCCACAGGAAGCCCCAAAAAGATCCCAAGAAGCCTCCTCCTCCTCCTCCTCCTCCTCCTCCTCCTCATTTTCCTCCTCCTCCTCCTCTTCCTCCTCCTCCTCCTCCTCGTCCTCCTCATCCTCCTCCTCTTCATCTAAATGTGTTTCTTATTATACGTATTAATATGCATGTTTCCCCTTAGTATCAATATTAACAGTATCATTGATACCAGTTTCAGTACTACTATTACGATTAGCATTGATATTAATACTAGTACCAGTAGTAGTACTAGTAGTAGTAGTAGTAGTAGTAGCAGCAGCAGCAGCAGCAGCAGTAGTAGTAGTAGCTAGTAGTAGTAGTAGTAGTAGTAGTAGTAGTAGTAGTAGTAGTAGTAGTAGTAGTAGTAGTAGTAGTAGTAGTAGTAGTAGTAGGTAGTAGTAGTAGTAGTAGTAGTAGTAGTAGTAGTAGTAGTAGTAGTAGTAGTAGTAGTAGTAGTAGTAGTAGTAGTAGTAGTAGTAGTAGTAGTAGTAGTAGTAGTAGTAGTAGTAGTAGTAGTAGTAGTAGTAGTAGTAGTAGTAGTAGTAGTAGTAGTAGTAGTAGTAGTAGTAGTAGTAGTAGTAGTAGTAGTAGTAGTAGTAGTAGTAGTAGTAGTAGTAGTAGTAGTAGTAGTAGTAGTAGTAGTAGTAGTAGTAGTAGTAGTAGTAGTAGTAGTAGTAGTAGTAGTAGTAGTAGTAGTAGTAGTAGTAGTAGTAGTAGTAGTAGTAGTAGTAGTAGTAGTAGTAGTAGTTAGTAGTAGTAGTAGTAGTAGTAGTAGTAGTAGTAGTAGTAGTAGTAGTAGTAGTAGTAGTAGTAGTAGTAGTAGTAGTAGTGTAGTAGTAGTAGTAGTAGTAGTAGTAGTAGTAGTAGTAGTAGTAGTAGTAGTAGTAGTAGTAGTAGTAGTAGTAGTAGTAGTAGTTTGTAGTAGTAGTAGTAGTAGTAGTAGTAGTAGTAGTAGTAGTAGTAGTAGTAGTAGTAGTAGTAGTAGTAGTAGTTGTAGTAGTAGTAGTAGTAGTAGTAGTAGTAGTAGTAGTAGTAGTAGTAGTAGTAGTAGTAGTAGTAGTAGTAGTAGTAGTAGTAGTAGTAGTAGTAGTGTAGTAGTAGTAGTAGTAGTAGTAGTAGTAGTAGTAGTAGTAGTAGTAGCAGCAGCAGCAGCAGTAGTAGTAGTAGTAGTAGTAGTAGTAGAAGTAGTAGTAGTTAGTAGTAGTAGTAGTAGAAGTAGTAAGAAGTAGAAGTAGAGTAGAAGTAGAAGTAGAAGTAAGTAGAAGTAGAAGTAGAAGTAGTAGTAGTTGTAGCCAGTAGTAGTCTAGTAGTAGTAGTAGTAGTAGTAGTAGTAGTAGTAGTAGTAGTAGTAGTAGTAGTAGTAGTAGTAATAGTAGTAGTAGTAGTAGTGGTAGGAGTAGTAGTAATAATAGTAGTAGTAGTAGTCGTAGTAGTAGTAGTAGTAGTAGTAGTAGTAGTAGTAGTAGTAGTAGTAGTAGTAGTAGTAGTACGTGCGTGTCCCCCCGCCCCCCCTATGGGTGTGGCGTGGTGTGGTTGTGTGCTGTGGTGTGGTGGTTAGCGCACGTGTGTGCCGGTCCCCCCCCCTTTGGGTGTGGTATGGTGTGCTGCGTGGTGGTCGTGTGTGCGTGCGTGCGTGCGCATGCGCGCTTGCGTGCGTGTCTCCGACATAGTCGTCAGCAAAGGCAGCGCAGTCATCGTCGTCGTCTTCACTGTCGTCGTCGTCGTCGCCGCCGTCGACGTCGTCGTCGTCGTCTTCGCAGTCGTCGTCGCCGCCGTCGCCGCCGTCGTCACCGTCGTCACCGTCGTCGTCGTCGTCGTCGTCGTCGTTGTCGTCGTCGTCGTCGTCTTCCCCGTCGTCTTCGCCGTCGTCGTCGCCGTCGTCGCCGCTGTCGTCGTCGCCGACGTCGTTGCCGTCGTCGGCGCCGCCGCCCCCCCCGATACCATCTGGGGGGGGACGTGGAAACCCTGGGACCCATACCATCTGGGGGGGTGGGACGTGGGCACCCGACGCCCTGGATCATATATGAGTGTGTTCCGGTGTCTCTCTTTCATCTAAGCACGAATATATATATATATATATACACATTCATAGATGGACAAGTACGTTGGCTAGTTTCCTCTATGTCTAGCTTCTTTCTATGTATGTATGCCTAGGTTCATATGTGTTGTCTGTCCTCCATGTCTAGCTTGTTGTTTCTCTCTCTAGATATATAGCTGTACGATATATTATTTGTATGCGTATAAACATGTGTATGTACACATATGCTTGAGCATCTATATTCCTACTGCCTATAACATTCCTTGCGTACACACATATGGTTTTATGTGGTGTCTGTATACAATACAATATGCGTACAATCTGCTTATATGACGGCGCCTCAATACAAAATGGAGATGTGAAACCCTGACATTGTCTCTACTGTACCTCTCCCTCTCTCCGTCGACCTCCCTCCCTCTACAGCGATATACATCCAAATATATACAGGCATGTGTGAGTGCATGCGTGTGCACACCTACGTCTGAAAAAGGTGTACATGTTGATATCCCTGAGTGCATATTGAGATATCACTCTTCTCTCTCTCTCTCTCTCTCTCTCTCTCTTTCTCTTTTTCTCTTTCTCTCTCTCTCTCTCTCTCTCTCTCTGTTAAACTCGTTCATGTGTTTCATTATCTCTCTCTCTCTCTCTCTCTTCTGTTCTCTCTCTCTCTCGCCCTCTCTTACAATTAACTCTCCTTCGTTCTCCCTCTCTCCTAACTCCCCCAATCCCGAACGCCTGTCCCAAATCCTGCATCCTGTCTCCTGGTTTCCAATTTCCAAATCCCAGTTCCCGGCTCCCGGTTCCCAGCTCGGGGTTCCCGGATCCCGTTTCCCAATTCCCAGTTCCCGGTTCCCGGATCCCAATTCCCAATTCTCGGCTCCTTCCCGGCTCCCGGTTCCCAATTCCCCTGTCCCTGTTCCCAGTTCCAGGTTCCCAGTTCCCGGTTCCTGGCTCCCTCTTTCTAAATTCCTGGTTCCCAGCTCCCGGATCCCAGTTCCCTTCACTATTCCTCCACTCTGAGAAGAAAGAGGAGGAGGGGGAGGAGGAGGAGGAGGAGGAGGAGGGGAGGAGGAGGAGAAGGAGGAGGAGGAGGACGAGGAGGAGCAGGGGTAGGGAAACGATGAGGGCAGGAGGAGGAGCAACAGCAGTTACAGCATCAGCAGACGGATGAGAGGAAATGATGAAGAGGAGTCGAGACCGGACAGGCGCGGGCCCACGGAGGCTGCTAACTGCAGATGCGCGCAGAGCGTGATCCTTTCGCCTGCACGCCCCCACGTGGCAGCGATCGGGGCAGCCCCTCCAGACAACGAGGGCCTCTCAAGAGGTCCACTGGAGCACTTCTCAACCCCCCCCCTGAGCGAAAGTAACCTAGGGCGACCAGAGCAACAGGAATGTTCGAATGACCTGATAACGGGAGCCGACCCCCCCCCACGTGGGGCGGAAACGAGGGGGAAAAGGAGATGGAGAGGAGGCCTGCCTACACAACCAGGGTGTGGTGCGTGCCCCACTGACAACCCCCTCCCCCTGTGAAAGAAGCAGAAGGGAACCCACGAGCGGGGGCTCTTCCCACGGAGGGCCCGCGCCGCATGGAAAGGCTGCCCCCCTACAGCTGCCGCTCGGAAAGCCAAAGAAGTAAGGATGCTCTCTCTCTCTCTCTCCTGGCTGCCCTACAGCTCCTCTGAGGCCTTCGCTGCAGACTGAGACCCTGCAATCTGGCCGGTCTCTGCGCTCTTCTGGGCGGCCAGGACCCTCACCGCTTTAAGCCACCCGAGCTCCCTGGGGTTTAAAGCATCCGCGTCAGCCTCCTTCTTCTTCAGCGCCGTGTCGTACTCCTTCCTGATGTCCTCGCTGAATTGTTTGAACTTGTCCTCGATCGCCTTCATCTCTTCGCCTTTCTGCTGGATGAGGGCCTCGCGCTTCTCGCCACCCATGGCAGTGAAGTCCTCAATCTGCTTCCTCTGCGCGTCGTTGCACGAGCCCTGGTTGGTGGGACCGCACGGGGGCTTCAGATCGGCAACAAACTTCTTGAGATCTTTAAGACCACGGCCTCCTTTGTAGTCCTGAAGGTCGTCTGGGTCACCCCACTTGAGCGTGGGGTATCCCCTGACGCCTACCTCGTCACAGAGCGACCTTCCGGACGCAGTACAGTCCACATCAGCGATCAGAACCGTGGCGTGGTCTTTATACTCGCTCATCAGCGTATCCCAATCAGGCTTCATGCGCTTGCAGTGTCCTCACCAAGGTGCCAAGAACTTTACAAAAACCGTTTTACCTGAGGTTGCGTCATCCCAGGTACTCTTGGTGAGCTCGCCCTCCTTCGGAAGATTCCACCAGTAGTAAACGCCGCCGACCGCTCCGATGATAGCTACGATGATAGTGACGACAATGAGGATTGTGCTTGTGCTGGTGCCTGAGGGGCCAGAAGAGGCGACGCGCCTTCTCGCCGCAGATTTGCCGCACCCTGTGCCAAGCCGTTCCCCCGCACGGTCGAAGGGCCCCTCTCCTGGGAGACTGGGAGGGGTCACGACGAACAGACACGCGCTCATCTGCGACACGGCAGCATGCAAAGAATAACCCCAAGAGGGCATTGCTTTTCGACACACGCGTGCACAACAGATAGTGTCACAGACGAGCGAGGGGAGGGAGGGGCAGGATAAGCGGCAATCGCCCAAGACCCAAACATACCCATCGCCGAAACTGAAACTATGATCGAAGTCGAAATCGAATCGAATCGGCGGGAATGAAATCCGCCACCGTGCTTCTGGCACGAAGTGGAGTGCCCCAAGGTTCACAGCTGTGCTGCTGCTGTTTCTTAAGGGCCCAGAGCTTGGAGTTCCGGAGGCAAAGATCACTGACTTCTGTGAGTATTTGTAGGGCTTGGGCGCTTCCGCATTTTCGGGTTCCCGACGCTCCAAGACGGCTCAAAAGGCCCACACGATCGCCCCAAGACGGCCCATGAGGCTCCCAAGAGGGTGCCGAGACGGCCCAAGAGGCCCCAACAGATGACGCGAGAGGCCTCCAAGATGGCTCATGAGGGCCCCAAGAACGCCCGAAAAGGGATCCCAGAGGGGGAACACGAACCAGCATTTCGAGCTCTCCGCCCAAAGAGGCCCCCAGGAGGCCCAAGAGGTCGCCAAGAGGCCCCCAAGAGGTCCCAAGAGGCCAGCAAAGGGACCCCAGGAGGCCTGCCAGAGGCCCCCAAGAGGCCCCTCCCAAGAGGCGACAAAACTGCCCCCCAGAGGCCACCCAGAGCCCTCCGAAGAGACCCGAAGAAACATCCATGAGGATTCTGACCCGCAACCCAGGCACGGTGGCGGGATGGGCCGAAGGCCACTGGACCTGCTTGGTACGGGGACGGAAAGCGCAACTTACCTTCCTGTGATGTTGCGCGATCACCGGCTCGTCCGTTTTTCCTCCTCTTGCGTCCTCTCTTTCCTTCGCCCTTGTCGCATCCTTGGGGAGTCTTGGGACACGCTTGGGCCGTCTGGGGAGACTCTCGGGCTGTCTTCAGGCCCTCTCTTGAGCTGTCCATCTGCCCCCTAACAGAGGTTGCAAGACGATGTTCGAAACATCCTTGTAGGCATGCGGAGATTAACCATTGGTTTAAGGATGTCCACGGCGCTGCCGATCTACTAAACTGCCCGGCCATTTCAACCCGCCTGGCTTTTTCAACCCGCCTGGGCCTTTGAACCCGCCTGGCCGCTTTGACCCAACTATCCGATTCAAACGGCATGGCTATAACGATCGCGTTACTTCTTCGTTCGATATGACCAGTGTATCCCGTCTGGCAGCGCTGACATCCTTGGCCGTTTTAGCCCGCCCTGTCGTCTTCAACAGTCTGGGCGTTATAACCCGACTAGCCGATTTAAGCCGCCTGGCCATTTAAGACGACGTCGACAACATCTCATTTGTGTGAGGATGTCCCTAGCGAAAGCGCCATTTGCGGCAAGAGCGATACCAAGACGATGTCGACAGCATCTCATTGTAACACTTAAACACCCCCCGACCTGCAAGCCACAGCCCCTGACCCAGACCGGGGGGGGAACCAGCCTCTGCCAGCCGTTTTCGGCCACCTTCGCGTTGCCAGGCCACGTCGCGGTGCAGAGAGGAGGAGGAACTGGGACAGGAGAGAGAGACAACGAAGAGGCGAGACAACGGGGAGGGCCGCGTGCCGCGCGCCGCTGGCCTGGCCAATAGCGAATCGCCATTCTGGCCAAGGCCGAGACCGAGACGACGTCGACGACTTCTCATGTGCGTGAGGATGTCCGAAGCGCAATGGCCGGTTTAGGCAAGGGCAATGTCGACGACATCTCAGTTGTGTGAAGATGTCCGTAACGAAGTCGCCAATTTGGCCCAGACCGAAACCAAGACGACGTCGACGACGTCTCGTTTGTGTGAGGTCGTCCCAAGCGAAATCGCCACTTTGGGCAAGAGCGATGTCGACAGCATCTCAATGTTGTGAGGATACCCCTAGCGAAACCGTCACTTGTTGGGCTATGTTGGGCCGCCTTGAGACCTTCCGAGAGGCGAGAGCGGCCCAAACACATCTCAGCTTGTTGAGGATGTCCCGAGCGAAATCCCCATGCTGGCTACTGGATCCCTGGGGCACGGCCTGCCAATCCTCCCAAACTCCTTCTGGTTACATTGCCCCCGGCTAACGGATCGCACCTTATGCGCGCTTTCTGTCATTCGCCGCCCCCGCTGGCTTCCCACATGCAAAATATATATATATATATATATATATATATATATATATATATATATATATAAAAATAAATAAATAAATAAATAATTGTTGGCTCTTTTCACAAGTTCTCAGTGGGCTGTCGACTGATCCCGCCGGCCACCTGGAGAGCCACGCAAAGGCCTCAACGTTCACAAAAAATCGCTACAAGACGACCAACATAGCCGCGGAGATGCTTTTAAGAATGCCAAGATGGCCCAACCCAACATGGCCTCCGAAACGGTCCAAAGATGTCTCCAATACGGGCCGAGATGCCCCAAAGAGGGCCTCAAGATCGCCCAAGACGGCCCAAGAGGCCTCCAAGACGGCCCAAGAGCGCCCACGAAGCCTCCGAGACGGCCCCCTAACGGCCCAAGAGGCCCCAAGACGGCCTCAAGAGTGACCCGAGACGGCCCAGGAGACCTCCAAGACGCCCAAGATGGTCTCCAAGACGGCCCTGATGCGCCTCAAAAGGGCCCCAAGTCGGCCCAGAGAGGCCCGCAAGACGGCTTCCGACGGCGTCAGACGGGCCAGGAACATCCTCAGACGGCCAAAGAGCCTCCCAAGGAGCTTCCAGAGGCCTCCAAGAGGCCCAATGAAGCCCCCAACAGGCCTCCAAGAGGCCCCCAGGAAGCCCCCAGGAAGCCACAAAAGCGTCCCGAGAGGCCTCCTCCTCCTCCTCTTCCTCCTCCGCCTCCGCCTCCTCCTCCTCTTCCTCCTCATCCTTCTCCTCTTCTTCTTCCCCATATCCTAAGATGAGGTTATTGTTATTACTTGGACGCCTCCTACTCACTCTCCCTCCTCCTCTTTCCTCCTCCCCTCCTGTCGGAGTTACTCATACTCAGACTTGATCATACCCAGACTTGCTCATACACAGACTTACTCATACTCTGATACTCTCATACTCAGATCTACTCATACTCAGACCTACTCTTACTCAGACATACTCATACTCAGACTTACTCATACTCAGACATACTCATACTCAGGCATATTCATACTCAGACCTACTCATACTCAGACTTACTCATACTCAGACTTACTCATACTCAGACATTCTCATACCCAGACGTACTCATACTCAGACTTACTCACACTCAGACATATCCATACTCAGACTTACTCATACTCAGACTTACTCATACCCAGGCGTACTCATACTCAGACTTACTCATAGTCTGAGACTTACTCAACACACAGCAGATTGTGAGGATGTCTCAGGCGGGGCGCTGGTTTCAGCACCCCTAAGGGGAGCCGCCAGGGGTGGTTGCACGGGCTCGTTCGCGGCCATTTTGTGGGGATGTCTCAGGCGGTTTGCTTGTTTCTGGGCCCAACATCCTTCGCTTGGAGAGCAGATTGTGAGGATGTCTCAGGCGGGGCGCTGGTTTCAGCACCCCTAAGGGGAGCCGCCAGGGGTGGTTGCACGGGCTCGTTCGCGGCCATTCTGTGGGGATGTCTCAGGCGGTTTGCTTGTTTCTGGGCCCAACATCCTTCGCTTGGAGAGCAGATTGTGAGGATGTCTCAGGAGGGGCGCTGGTTTCAGCACCCCTAAGGGGAGCCGCCAGGGGTGGTTGCACGGGCTCGTTCGCGGCCATTTTGTGGGGATGTCTCGGCGGTTTGCTTGTTTCTGGGCCCAACATCCTTCGCTTGGAGAGCAGATTGTGAGGATGTCTCAGGCGGGGCGCTGGTTTCAGCACCCCTAAGGGGAGCCGCCAGGGGTGGTTGCACGGGCTCGTTCGCGGCCATTTTGTGGGGATGTCTCAGGCGGTTTGCTTGTTTCTGGGCCCAACATCCTTCGCTTGGAGAGCAGATTGTGAGGATGTCTCAGGAGGGGCGCTGGTTTCAGCACCCCTAAGGGGAGCCGCCAGGGGTGGTTGCACGGGCTCGTTGGCGGCCATTTTGTGGGGATGTCTCAAGCGGTTTGCTTGTTTTTGGGCCCAACATCCTTCGCTTGGAGAGCCCCTAAGGGGAGCCGCCAGGGGTGGTTGCACGGGCTCGTTCGCGGCCATTTTGTGGGGATGTCTCAGGCGGTTTGCTTGTTTCTGGGCCCAACATCCTTCGCTTGGAGAGCAGATTGTGAGGATGTCTCAGGCGGGGCGCTGGTTTCAGCACCCCTAAGGGGAGCCGCCAGGGGTGGTTGCACGGGCTCGTTCGCGGCCATTTTGTGGGGATGTCTCCGGCGGTTTGCCTGTTTCGGGCTCAACATCCTTCGCTTGGAGAGCAGATTGTGAGGATGTCTCAGGCGGGGCGCTGGTTTCAGCACCCCTAAGGGGAGCCGCCAGGGGTGGTTGCACGGGCTCGTTCGCGGCCATTTTGTGGGGATGTCTCAGGCGGTTTGCTTGTTTCTCGTGGCACTATCCTCCAACATGACATGCACTTATGGCCTTGTGTGGCTAAACGCTCGTCTTACATATCCCACTGCCAACTATCCTACAACATATGCACATGTGGGAAGCTCCAAAGCTACCACGGGCTGAAAAGGGGAAGGCCTGGCAGCTGAGGAGGGGGGATGAAGAGGAAGAGGCTCGCATTCAACCATACTCAAAGCTCACTCTGACTCATACGCAATCACTCGCATTAGGGGTCACTCGTCTTCGTCGGCCCTGTCGCCCACGTAGACGCGCTATTGTAGTCGACCGCTCATGAACAGACGCTCACCACGGCATGACATAAAACATGAGATGCACATATGGGGAGCTCCACGCAGTGAGTAATTATTAGTAGCACCAAGGAAAAGTAATACTGCTCGTAATATGCTTAACAATATATATATATATATGTATACATAGTTGTGATACGATTACTGAAAATAATTTGAGTAGTACTAGTACTAGAAGTAGTAGTAGTAGCAGTAGTAGTAGTAGTAGACGTAGTAGTAGTAGTAGTAGTAGTAGTAGTCGCAGTAGTAGTAGTAGTAGTAGTAGTAGTAGTAATAGTAGTAGTAGTAGTAGTAGTAGTAGTTGTAGTAGTGGTAGTAGTAGTAGTAGTAGTAGTAGTAGTAGTACTAGTAGTAGACGTCGTAGTAGTAGTAGTAGCAGTAGCAGCAGCAGCAGTAGTAGTAGCAGTAGTTTTAGTAGTAGTAGTAGTAGCAGTAGCAGTAGCAGTAGCAGTAGCAGTTGCAGGAATAGAAGAAGTAGTAACAGTAGTAGTAATAATGATAGTAGCACTAGTACTAGTACTAGTACTCGTACTAGTCGTAGTAGTAGTAGTAGTAGTAGTAGTAGCAGCAGTAGTAGGAGTAGTAGTAGTAGTTAGTAAGTAGTCAGTAGTAAGTAGTACGTAGTAAGTAGTAAGTAGTAAGTAGTAAGTAGTAAGTAGTAAGTAGTAAGTAGTAAGTAGTAAGTAGTAAGTAGTAAGTAGTAAGTAGTAAGCAGTAAGTAAGTAGGAAGTATTGAGTAGTAGTAGTAGTAGTAGTAGTAGGAGTAGTAGTAGTAGTAGTGGTAGTGGTAGTGGTAGAAGTAGTAGTAATCAAATCATGTATAGTATTCTTAGTACTAGCAATAGTACTATTGATCGTAATAGGTTTACCCCATATGAGCATTATGAATGGCATTAATAATCGACTTAGTATGATTCACCTTCTTGTTACTATAAGAACTCATTGTAGTATTGCTCGTCATAGTCATCTTGGTATTCGCAGTCGTCGTACTGAATGTGGTTTTCGCATGCGTCTTCTTAGTATGATTGGTCTTTGCCTTCGAATTAATATTCATCGTATTTAAAATTAATATTACTAGTGCTCGTAGTACTAGTGTTCGTCGTGCTAGTCTTAAGGATCCGTAGTCGCAGTATTCATATCACTATTGATGTTCGCCGTCTTCTTCTTCTGAGTATCAGTATTGCCAGTAGTGCTGTTACTATGTTATTAGTGGATGCTGCTTGTGTGACTGCTATTAGAATTGTTATGACCTCTAGTGATATCATTAGTACGATTATGATGATGATCCGTCCTCCTCCACATCATCATCTACCTCCTCCTCTTCCTCCTCTTCCTCCCCTCCTCCTCCTCCTTCTCCTGCCTCTTCTCCTCTTCTTCTCTCTCCCCCACGTGTTCTCCGACGGGGTCCAGTCCGATAGGTCCGATAGCTTGGCCGAGCGCTGACCGCAACGTTCGACCACACAGGCTCTTCCAAAAGGCAGGTAGCGGCGGTGGTTATCCGTAGGCTTATTCGATACCTCGTCGACAACCGGCGCATGCAACGATCGAATTTCACAGGGGTTCGAAGTCCCAGTGATGCCAGAGCCTTCAGGTTGGCTGACCTCTTGCGGCGACTTCTTCTTGTCTTTCGGCGCTGGGGTTGAATCCTGCGAGCGCAGACAAATAGGAAAAGCTGACAGGGGGGAGGACGTCAACGTTGAGGGGGACGAGGAAGAAGGAGAGAAGCACAGGACTGAGGACGGGAACGACAACAGACACAATGACGAGGAGGGAGAAGGAGAGGGAGGGGGAAATTCGATATAGGGAGGGAAGGAAGAAGGGAGGGAGAGGGGAGCCCCAACTCGCAGGCAATGCGCCAGGCTCTCTCTGCTCGCGCACCAGTCCATCGGGCCGGGCGAAGGCAATGGCAGCGCGTGTCCCGAGTGCGAATATTGAAATTCGCAATGCCGACCCTCGGCAGCGCTGGTATGGGCGCGTGCTGGGCAGAGCGGTGGATGCACAGCCAGCGTCGTCGCGACAGGCATCGTGTAGAAGCTTTGGCATTCCCTTCAGAAATGGAGAGCTGCGTTGAACCCCCTTGAGCCAACAGAAACAAGGGCTGGTGGAAATGCATAGCGAGCGTTGCGTCCCGCGTCTGGGCAGCAGATGGATTATCCGCAAGTGGGGTGCTTCGAAGAGGCACGTGAAGGCGGCGAGAAGGGCTTCTGCCTGGCTGGCCAGGCCAAGCCTGCAACAGCCGCCGCGGCAGTGGCCCGCGTGCAGCCCCCCGCGGCCACGGACCGACCAAGACCGGGAGAAGGACGTGCTCTCCAGCCGCGGATTGCGTGGACGCTTGCCATGGACAAGCGGTGCTCTGGCTCTGCACCCCGACGGGCTGGCTGCCTGGCAGAGTCTGGTGCGTTCCTGTCGCAGCCAGCTCGAGGCAGCTCGAGATCAGGGCTGGTGCAGCCGAGATCCCAGACGCAGCAGCCAAAGAAGAAGGCTTCGGTACAGGAGGGAAGACTCCGGAGCAGAAGTCACGGGATCTGCTCCTCGTCAACGCACTATCCATCGCCTGGCCCGCCAGCGAAGCGTAGTGCACCGAGGCCCTCGAAGAGCGCCCGTCTCCGTGAGGTGGCCAGCGGGGGGCGACCAGAGGAGACGCCGCAGGCCGACCATCGCTTCCGAGTCTTGCGTAATGGACAGGCGGGGCACAGCGAGCTAGCGCACTGGATGCCGCTCGCGAGGAAGAGTCGGCAGTTGGGTCCGTCAGAGCTGCACTGATCGCCCAGCGCAGCTAGGCACGCCAGAGAAGCTGCACGCCTCGTTCTGCGCCGCCTGCACTGGCCAAGCCGCGCAGCCCGTTGGACGCCCCCAGTGACCATGAGCGCTGGGACGAGATGAAGGGTGGCTGACGACCCCAGGGCTGCCAGGAGCCCTGCAGGACCACTTGGGAATTGCGATAGACTTGGAAACGCTCTCTAGGCAGCGCCTCGATTCTGGACGCCTCGCGGAAACCACCGAAGCAGAGAGAACTCGTGGACACGATGTATAACACCCAACACGCCGCTCGCGACGCTCGCGGGCCCGAGTGGGTCAAAGGCTGCGGGTGCTGCGCGTTCGACACGCGTGGCTAATGTGTCCTGTTCTCGATCAGGCCAGCCTTCTCATACGGCACCAGCTTTCCAATCCGCCACCGTGCCCCCTGCACGTTCGACCATGGTAGAATGCAAAGTGCTGTCTGGTAGGATTTCTGTGAGAGTTCTAGGACTCCCCCCCCTCCTCGTCACAGCAGGCCCCGTGCATCCACCCCCGCTCCCGAGATTACCTGAGCGGCCCGACGGCTACCCATCACTCTCCAAAATTCTCAAAGGCTTCCAAGGCGACCCAGGAAAGCCACCAAAGGCACCCAACAGCCACCAAGAAGACACCAAGAGACGCCAAAGGGGCCCCAAGAGGCTTCCAGGACACATATTGTGAGTCCACTTGCTCCCAACCCATATTTGATGGGTTCTCGTTTAAAATAAAAGGCTGTTGCCTCATTCCTCCTTTTGCAGCCTCTCTCCTTTTCTCATGTCCTGGGGGTCTCGCTGGGTGGGCTGCGAAATGCGCAAACGTAATCATGCTCCAGAGCTGCTGGGGGGGCCCGCACAGCGAAGCCCTTCCCAGACTCTGATCAGCCCTCGCCATCCCTGGCGGGGTGAGAACTGCAACACTGTCGCAACGTTCCAGGGCTGCTGGGAGGCCCAGCGCAATGACGCCCGACCCAGACTCAGAGTAGACATCGCCATTCCTCGGGGGCTGCCAGCTGCAAAGCTGTCTCCATGTTCGAAGGCTGCTGGGTGGCCCAGCGCCGCGACGCCCTACCCAGACTCAGATTAGACCTCGCAATCCCTGGCAGGCTGTGAACTGCGAAGCTGCCAAGAACTACTCAGTGGGCTTGCCACCAGGCCGCTGCGCGATCACGCGTATCCCATGCTATCTTGCGGACCACATTGGGCATCTCCATCAAGACCTGATCCGCGGCGCTCAGGCGTTTGGCTATAGCGTCATCCAAATTGATGCACTCTTCGATGATCTTGATTTGCTCTTTACAGGGGCGCTCCTATGCGTGACCAGCTTCCAGGCTCCAGGACCCGCACGTCGGTTTCTTCCGTGGCGTGCTCGGCCTGGGCCGAATAGCCGGAGGGTGTCTGACCTGTTGCCAAATGTGTCCAGCTCGCCCTTCGCCTTGTCCGTGGCCGTGGCCACTTCCGTCGCAGCCTGTTTGTGTTGCTGCCATGCCGCGCCGCTGGGCGCGCCGCTCTGCACACCGCCGCACGCAAGTGGCGGCCAACACCACGACCGCCCACCTGGCTGCTGTGAGGCACTGGCCACACGGGCGCCCAGGCCCCGCACACCTGCACCACATGCACGTTGACAGCTGCCACCCGTGCCACAGCTGTGCCGCCGCCGCCGCCGCCGGAGCCGTCGGACCTGGCCTGCGAAGGCGTACCCAAAGCTGGGCGCGTCCCGCCCATTGCACCTCGCTGCTGCCTCGCGAGCGCCCACCGCGCGCCAGGCCGCTGGCCAAACCGAGTTGTGCTCCAAGCGAGGAAGTCCTCGCACTCACGCCACCTTGAACAAGGACCAGCGGTCATAGGAGACTCTATGGCCTTGAACCAGGAATAAATACCTAACACAAATGCAGACGGCGATGATACTGAGCATTGCGGATAAGGAAGGGCACGACGCAGGGGCGGGTTTTCAGGTTGCAGCCGTGCGCGCTGTAAAAATCCGGAAATGTTGGCAGGAGGCACAATAAGACACGCGAGAAAAGCATTTGGACCTCCCCGTGACCCGAGCTGGCGACGCGCCCGCCACCTTCGGCTCGGCGGACGTCTTCTCTTCCGATCCGCCGCTCACGGCTGCGGTCGCGGACGCCTGACAGCGTCTCTCCCCGAATGCTGTATTACGAAAATAGCATTGCCCTCCCCAAACCACTCCTAACCATCGCCATCCCGTCGCGCCTTTCCCCTCCAACCTCCCCGTTCGTCTCCGCATACCCTCCCCTGGTCACCCCTTCCCCGTTTCCTCACCCCCCACCTTCCCCTTCATGCTTCCCCCCCTTACGAAGACCCTGGAACAAAAGACGGCCATCCGACGAGCGAAAGTACGACAAAGCTTGACCTCCCCCGCGCCCTTCGCAAACCCATGCTATGATTAATCGTCCACCTCGTGCTTCTCCTCCTCTATAACCAGGACGCAACGTTACCAGTCTGACAATGATTCGGGCGTGAAGGTGGTGAACAATACGGGCGAAGCTTTCAGTTTGCGATTGCCGTCGGATCCGAACGATCGATGTCACGATCTAGCGGGATATATACACTAGAACCATCGCGCGCGCTTCGCGCGCACTCAAGTTCTAGCTAGGTTTGATCGGCTAACTCATGTAAGATCATGTTGTTCGCTTCTTGCGTCCAGGGACTCCCTCGGAGGCCCTGCGCAAGCCTCGGAATCATATAGAAGGGGAAGTGCGGAAGGTATTCAACGACTTGGGGCCCTCAAAGGCTTCCTGAGTTATTTTTGGAAGGTGAGGGGGATCGTAATTTTGGTCTGCTGTGCAAGAGTAGACCGGGGGCCAAGCTTGGAAAACAAAACAAAAATGTGGGATTCCCATTTTTGTTCCAGTTCCTCGGCGCTGTTCGGCGCTGTTTTTTGTTTGTGCCTCGCGGGTTTTGTTAGCCGGGCCCATCAGGGGTGTGGGATCTTCCAGACCCCCTGGGGCTTCTGGAGGCCTCCTGAGGCCTGGAGAGCCGTCGGAAGGGTGTCTCGGGTTGCGCGGGAGCGTGTCGGGCCGTTCTTTACGTTATGGGGGGTCCTTGGGGTCGACATGGGCTGTCCTTCGGCTTCTTTGGGTCTCCCCCTGGGAAGCCAGGAGGCGCGGTACTGGCCATATGTCAGGGGATGTGTGGGACCCCCGAGTAGGAGTCCCACTTTTCTAAAGAAGGGAATTCTGGGAATTCCCTTCTTTAGAAAAGTGACTGTCTTCTTCTGGGACACCTCTCGGGCGCTTCTTGGGCTTCTCTTGGGCCGTCTTGGGGGCCGATTGGGCCGTCCTGCGTTCCTCCTGGGCCGTCTTGGAGATATCTTAAGGCCTCCTAGGCCGTTTTGGGGGGCCGCTTGGGCCGTCTTGGACGCGGCGACAGCCCAAGAGGCGAGCATGCGAAAAATATACGTTTTCCCATAGGAATGGACGTTTCTTGGGGCTCTCTTGGGGTGCCTCTTGGAGCATATTGGGGTGTTTTGGGGGGCCTGCTTGGGGCCTTTTGGGGGTTATCGGCGCCTCCTGGGATCTCTTGGGGCCGAAAGCTCGGAATTCGAGAGTTGTTTTCTTTCTCTGGGACTCCTCTCGGGCGCGTGTTGGGGCTCTCTTGGGCGCTTTGGGGGCCCATTGGGCCGTCCTGGGCTTCTCGTGGCCCGTCTTGGAGTTTTTTTGGGGGCCTCCTAGGCCGTCTTTGGAACCCCTTGGGCCGTTTTGGGCGCGATGACAGCCCAACAGGCGAACATACGAAAAATATACGTTTTCCTGTAGGAATGGGACGATTTTTGTTTCTTGGACCTCTCTTGGGGTGCCTCTTGGAGCGTTTTGGGGTGCTTTTGGAAGCCTTCCGGGCGCTTCTTGGGGGCTTCTCGGCGCCTCCTGGAGGCACTGGGAGTCGAAAGCTTGGAATTCGATGGTGGTTCTCCTCCTCTGGGGCCCTCTCGGGCCCGTCTTGGGGACGCTCTTGGGCCGTCTTGGGCCCTTCGTGGGCCGTCCTGGAGCTCTCTGGGGTTGTATTGGGGCCCTCTGGGGCGCGTCCTCGGCCGGACCGACAGCGAAAACAAGCAATGCGTTAAAAATATACGTTTTCCAAAGGGAATGGGGCTATTGTGGCCTCTTGGGGCTCTCTTTGGGGCCCTATTGGGGGTCGTTTGGGGTGCCTTGGGGGCTTATGAAGCCGCCTTGGAGGCCATGTTGGGCGTCTGGGAGCGACCTTCGGGCGTCCTGGGTCTGTTATGGAGCCTCTTGGGGCCTCCTTGGCGCCTTCTGGCGGCCTCCTGTGAGGCCCTGGGTCCCCCCGAGGGCCCCGGAGCCCACATTCGCGGTAGCGGCGCCGGCCCCGGGCGCCCGGACCAGGTCCGCTGCTATATGTATGTACAATCACAAAGACACACATGCATACATCTACACTTACATGCATGCACGCACGCATGCACGCAGGCAGGCAGACAGACAGACAGACAGACACAGACACAGACAGACAGACAAACAGACAGACAGACAGACACACAGACAGACAGACAGACAGACTGACAGACAAACAGACAGACAGACAATCATTCTCTCGGGCTCCCACGTCGCTGGGGCGCCCCCCAGCCACGCCTCGAGGACGCGCCCCAGCCGCGCCTGGGTGGCAAGGGCCACGACGCGGAACACCGCGACTCCAACATTCTCGCGTGATGAAACGGCCCATCTGTATCTGGGGCCCCGGCCCGATTGCACCGGCGCGATCGCGCGGGCTTCAGAAAACTGCACGCGCCTGGTCGCGGGTCGCAGACCACGAGCCTGGCACGCCAGGGAGCGAGAGAAAGGGAGAGAAAGAAGAAAAAGAAGAAGAAGAAGAAAAAGAAAAACAGCGCCTAGCGAAGGCAAGCGAATCGGAGCAAGCAGCCAGCGCGCCCAAACTGAAGCAAACCGCGCGCCACCGCACACCTGCAATCCTCGACAGCGGGTTTCGCGGTCCACCCCAAACCTCCTCGGCCCCAAGGCCCTCGTGCTTTTCACAGACTCTCTACGGGTTTAGCACGAATCCTCCTGGCCAAACAAGCAGCGCAGCATCCGCAGCAGCAGCAGCAGCTATGCTCCGCCAGCCCGCCCGACACCGCGCTGCCTCTCGCCGGCGGCCTGTCGCAGCTGCTCCTCCTTTACACGCACGAGCGAGCGGAGGCCGAGACGCCGCGCAGAGGCGCCGACGAGGAGCGGCCCCCGTCGTCGTCGCCTTCGCGGCGCGCCGTGGAAACGCAAGCGCTCAGAGCCTGCAAGACGTCCCCCGGCAGCAACCCGAAAGCGACCCAGGCGATGGCTTCTGAAAGCCATCCCAAGAACGTCCCCCAAAGAGCCTGCGGCCGCCAGGTGCTCGAGCCAGCAGCCCAGAAGCCCCTGCGCTGTCAGCTTTGGCGGCCGCCGGAGCAGCTTATCCGTCTCCGCCATTGCTTCTTCGAACATCTCCGGGCTCGGAACACTCCCGGGCGCCGTCTGCAGCACTGCGAAGGCGGGGGGGGGCACGCCCGCACCTTTCCCAAAGTCTCCAAGGTCCTTGGCGCGAGCTTGGTGCCAGTGACTGCTCGCAGCGCAGGCGTGGACTCTGGCGGCCACTTATTTGTCCGTTTGCTTGGCCGCGGCCGCGGGCAATGTCTTACCGCGCCAAATGGACGCCCCGAGCGCCCGCCACTGGCCGCCCCAGAACCAGGCCCGACGTCCCTCGAGACTTTCCGCGCAAGTCGTCGTCTTCCTGCTGCGGCCGCAGAGGAGGTCCGGCGTCAGGAGAAGCCTTCCACTCTGGTCTCGCGCCCCCGCTGCGCCAGGCCTCGCTCAGGACTTCCAACGTCTCCGTCCTGGCTTGGAAGACGGCCCCGCATACTACGACTACTACT